GCTCAGAGGGAGCCATGTTTCCCCCTCAGATTACAGACACTCAGGTGGTGGAGGGAGGACTCGAGCATGGACACAGAACCGTGTGAATACAGTAACTATCTGAACCTAACACGCAGGAAGCAAACATTCATGTCAGTGGACGGAGATTGAATGACATTCCTGTTGCTCACGGCTCTGCCTTGTCCAAAGTTTCCCTTGGCTGAGTCCCACGGGAATGTGCTCTCCTGTGTGTGTTTGACAGACACAGACGACACATCGCCGTGTTTTCTGTCCTTGGACGTCCAACACAGCAGATATTTTAACGCACGACCAGGAACGACTGACGGTTTGTTTTCCCTGTTAAAACTTTGTTCCAGGTTGAGCTGACCGTAGAAAACACTGACTGACAACACTTTTGCTTTGCAGGAGTAACATCCCTGCACTTCAGTCGAGGAATTCCTGATGAGTTCAACAGGCACAGACCAAAGTGGCGGCTTGGAAATGAGGAGCGTGATAGTGAGGGCATGGTGTCGCCCTCGGAGATGTCATGAGATGAGATGAGATGAGATGAGATGAGATTCAACTTTATTGTCATTACACATATACAAGTATAGAGTAACGAAATGAGGTTTGGCATCTCACCAGAAGTGCAAATAAGCAGAAAGTGCAAGAGTCTGTGCTATGTACAGTAATTCTGTGCTATGTACAGTAATTGCAAAATTTACAGATGTAGACAAAGAAAGTGAATTATGAGGTAAATCTGGATGGCTGGTCATGAGAAGTCACCCAAGATTTCATAGAGATAAAATTAGGCATTTTGCTTCTCATATGTGATCTAAAGGCTTCCTCATCCCCTATAACACATCTTTATATTTAGAAAAGGTGGGTCAAATGAAAGGCTACATGCTAGCTCAGCTCTACTTCATTACAGTCGTGCTAATATCAACACGCTGTATTAAAAAATGTAAGGAGGTGGATGTAGAGAGTGACCACGACTATCCTTGAAGTCTGATTGGCCACCCCAAGGAGCTACTCTGAAGATCCTATGCATAGCTTTCAAACATGTGACCGATGAAAATTATTTAGGAAAGTAGCGGCCGCCTTGGGGTCGGAGCAACTTGGGGTTAAGTGTCTCGCCCGAGGACACATCGGACATGAGGCTGCAGGAGCTGGGGATCGAACCCCCGACCTTCCAGTGTACAGATTCAACTGACTGCCCCCGGTACACATTGACATTTGTACAAACTAACCCATAAGAAAAACTGTGACACATGAGGAAAGTAGAGAGCAGCAGATGTTAACACTGTATGCTGGGGGCGTAGATGGCCTAGCGGTTTGGTCACACACCATATACGGTTGCTATAGTCCTTCCTGTGAGTGTAACTTCTATTTTAATACCTGCTTCGTCATGAGAGGGGGAAAAATAAAAAAGAGGACACTGACTCAGGAAAATACCTCCGCAGTCACAACATCATCCAATTCAAGGCTGAAATAAACCCGCGGAGAGGGGCTAATCAGACCACAAATGACATCATGAGGACTGTGAGAGCCATAACGAGAGCACTGACTGAAGAGAGGGCCGTCATTAGGCTGCTGGACTCGAAGCTGGGCACTTCCTACTGAGTTATCTTCACAGTGATAGGGTGAGTACGTATGACAGAGACTAACTTTAGCTGCAGAGGAAATGGGAGGGAAGACGTTGTCGTCGGGGTCAAACAGGCACGAACTGAAAAGTTACTTCGTCTTGTTTTTTTCTCGAGAGTAGAGGAATGGTATGCAGAGTGCCACAGGGAGGACTTATCTGCAAAACAGAGACGGTTAAGTAAGATGGATCTTTAATGGGTGCAGCAATAATGAGGCAGCCCATTATGAAAGATAAGCCCAAAGCTACTGTTGGATCACTTTTGAAGCCGCTGTGTTAAAGATTAAAGGATCACAGCAGTGATTCCACAAAGATCAGAAGGAATATGACACGCGGAAGAAAGCGCTCGTACTTTGTTGCTCAGGGTGAAAAACAGATTTCGAGTAGTTTTCAGTTTGATCTCGTGCTTGGAATAACACAAATGCTCAAATCATTCCTATGCTTCAAAGACTAGAAGGAATCATCTGCTCCTTGAAAAAGTCAGTCCAGCTCTGAATAACAGATGAAAGTTACAGAAAGTCATAGTTGATCTCTTTGAAAAGAAACGGCGCATGAGTCTGGCAAATAATGAACTTTCTTGGGAGAGACAAAAAGCAAAAGCCCCTGAACACTGAAGCATTTCATCCAGGCTAGGACGTCCATTGTGTACCTGCTGCTTTTTACATCTACGCTGAGAAGCTCAAATGTTCCCTCTTTTTTTCCAGATGTTCTCCGTGTTCCTCCTCCTCCTCCTCCTCCTCCTCCTCCTGCTCCTCCTCCGTCTCCACTCGTCTCTGATGAACTGGTGACGTTGGACTCGGCTACCAGAGGACAAGAAGCCAAAAGCAGCTGCCATCACATTTCCAGCCCCCTGTCTCCGCTTAAATAACATCAGGGAGGAAAACCTGAGGTCAGCGTCACAGCCAACTGACAATCAGACAACGCGGGACAAAAACATCCTCATGACGGCCATGATTTATTCTCTCAACGGCTTTCCTTGTTTTCTAGCACTTCCTGTCACTACATCCACTTGATTTCCAGCACTTCCTGTCACTGGATTGAGCTGTTTTTCAATCAACATAGTTCTTTGGCTTCTCACAACACCAACCCTCTGCTTGTCAACAATTGCACGTTGTCTAAGAGGGGGAGGAATAACATCGCTGTGTGTACCTCATGATGGAGCAGTTGCAATTAAAGACCTTTGGAGGACGCCAAAGTGCACCAAACCAAATTCCTACAAAGTCATTGTTTTTGGAAAACATTTTAAGAAACAAAACCTTAAGTGCCTAAAAGATGCTTCAATCACATTTATTACAATGACTTCAAACCTGCCTCCTCATGAAGTGGCCAACTTTATCAAGATTGAGCAAATTTAAGGAGTCACACTTGAAGTAATTTGATCCTATTTCACACACACACACACACACACACACACACACACACACACACACACACACACACACACATGCACGTATGCACACGCACACAGGATTAAAGCAAAATCCGGCCCAAACCCTTTTCATCTGAGAGCAGCAGAATCAATAAGGAGGCTTTCTAACAGAGTCAACAAGTTCAGGCACAGGCCAGAGACTCCATCCCTGTGAAAACGGATTTCATCACCATCATGGATTCTCATTGATGCTGTTAAACGGAGCTGCAGTCTGAGAGGAAGAAGGCCTAGGTTACAGATTTATTCAGAGTAAAGTTTACACTGACGCCTCCAGGTACCGTGGCACACACATCTTTGGAGATAAACTTGAACTCTCCAAGCTGATCGGAGATACTGTGAGGTTGAATTCAGTAAAACAAGAGGATTAGAGAGACTGAGCAAACGGCTGCACATCGGCAGAGGAATCTCCCTGCTTGCTCATGATGTCGCAGAGGATAAGACCATCGGAATACCAAAATAAAAACAGAGGGCAACAATGAAACGTTATCCTCCCAAGGTTTGGAGCTTCACTTTGTTTGCTTTACAGTCTATTCTGAGTGTGTGCGGTGCAACACGAACCCTCTGTGGCCGTTGGAGTATCTATAGATCAGTGGGGCGGGTTGCAGTCAGACAAAAACTGTAAACAAGTCCCATCCAGAGACCAGGGCTGACCCAATGGTGCACATCCCCAAACTGTCTGACTCATCGTCTTCAAAAGGCCGAGAGGAGAGCGAACGGCTCAGCAGCTGCATGATGAATCCCCAATAAATCCACCAAGACCAAAACGCTTTGAATCTCGCAGAGGAAGCGAGGATGCAGGTGGCTGGAGAGGAGTTTATTGCAACACATACTTTCCAGACGACCAAAACAACAAGAAAGACTCCCCCTCTCCTCCCCTCTCTCGCTCCTTTACTTCGCCTGATTTCAAAGACAATCTGCAGGGAGGGAGAAAACACTCGGAAGCCTTTTGTTCCAGGCTGATTTTGCATGGGGGGGAGGGGGGGGAGAGAAAGAGAGAGAGAGAGAGAGAGAGAGACTGTGTTTTGTGTGCAGGACAACAAAGTGTTGCCATTAAGGCTTTTACTCAAAACAGTTTTCGGGGAGTCAGCCTTGAGTGACAGCCTCCCCCCTTTGGCCTTCCTCGGTTTGCTCACCCGCTGGAGGAGCAACAGGAGGAGGAGGAAAAGGAGCGGGGAAGTGTGTGGGAATGTCTCTACATCGTCGCCACGGCGGGCAGCTCCTAAACATGGCTTTAAATTAGGGGGAAAAGAAAACACAGGCTAAAAAAAGGAAGCAGCCTGACTCTACTCCTACGTGCTAATTTGTCACCACTTAAAAAACAGGAAAAAAATAGCATCAGTTTGAAATCGCGCTGCTTTAAATGTTTGAATATGCCAGCCTGTGTGTGCATGGTAGACTACTTAAACACACGGGGGATTTAGGTCAACCATTGCACATACATCAGAGTTAGAGGAATCTATGGAGCTGCGTTCATATTAGAGGGAAGAAGAAATGGAGAGCAGCGAGTGTCTGGTTCTGGCTGGCTGGGATCGGACCAGTGACAGCTGGGGCTTGAAAGCCTCACATCCAAAGCCAGGGCTCACTGCCACTTGCGACATTGCAGTGCTGAGCTAAGCCCCCCCCCCCCCCCCCCCCTCCCCCTCCTCCCCCTTCTCCTGTCCAAGCCCTCCTCTGAAAGATCATCGTCCTGAACAAAACTTCAAGCCCCTGCCAAACAATTCCCCCTCAAACCGTCTCGTCTTTAAAGTCTGAGTCCAAGAGCGGAAGAGGTGCTGGAGAGAAGACAAGATGGCAGCCGGCTTTATCTGTCTGCTGCCGTGTCTGAGAGGGGACGGGGTCACAGAGAGGGGAGTTTCTCAGAGGCTTTGAATCAGAAAAAATGCATGAAGCATTTTGAAGGGTGTGTGTGTGTGTGTGTGTGTGTGTGTGTGTGTGTGTGTGTGTGTGTACCTTATCGAGCAGCGGCAGACAGCGGGGTACCCTGTGCTCCAGTTTGACAATGGTGATGAAGTCACTCTCTTGTCGTTCATCCTCGCTCGTGTTGCACAGAGACAGAGGGTGATACTGCGGATGGAAAGAGAGAAACAGGTAAACAACTCGTATGAAGAAAGAAACATTATCGCTTGATAACTTTTGCACAAAGTTCTTCGTCTGCAGCCCTCACGGGGGAGCGACAGCATGAATTCAAAGGTAGACAAGGAACATGTGCACATCAAAGTTTTATCCTGATGATCATCAAAACTCTTAGAACATACCACAGAGGCTTTTATTTTGGTAAAACAAAAGGAGATTATTACATTGTCATGATCCACACACTGTAATTTACCCAGAGAGACAGATGTTTTCACATCACTCATGTTAGGAAATCTGCATCAAAAAATCCTTTGTCTTCAAACCGTTGATCGACAAACCACCTAGTCCTCCAGATGTATACTGTTCTATACAAAGGAAATGTAGATTTTTCTCAGTTAGTCACGCCCTGTTGTATATGGTATATCAGGGTTTTTCCACAAAGACAACAACAGTCACAAGAACACGATGAAAAGCAAATGTACGGTGTCGTCGAGGTGATGTCTGATTTCACACCTCTAGAGAAAACGTTCCTATAGAATCCTTTATGAGTTAAATTGAGGCGTTTCCTCTCCACACTGTACCCTGTTGATATCAAGGGGAAGAGAACGCTGGCACCTTACAAAATCAATTACACGGACGGGCATTTTCACTCCCACTCAAAGCCTGGAGGACTGAAAGAACGGGAGATATTCTTCGGTTGGAACATTTGATCCCCTCTGAAAGGGAGGAAATTCGGAGCTGCTGAAAGGCTGCATTTAAGAGCTCAAGGGATCGCGGCGGTGTTTGCAAGTTACAGACGCGCTGTCACGCAGGACGGGGAAAACGGGTCCTGAAAAACACCCGTGTTATCACTAGTTTGCTCAGATGACATCACTGAGGGCATGGATAAAGTGCTCCTTGATCAGGTCAAAGATCCCCCTGCAGCACCCACACCCCTGCAGAGCGGCCTAACCCCGCCCCGGCCCGGCCCGGCCCGGCCTCGTACAGGCCCATCCTGCCACGGCGTCTTCATGTGTCTTCATGTGGGCTGTGGGCTGAGGTCATGGGGCTCCCCCTCATCTCACCCAGCGGAAATCCCTACATTAAAAAGACCCAAGGGTGACATCAACAGCTGGCATCCCGGTCCAGAGGGAATGACGTAATGGGGCTGGTGTGTGTCTGTCAGAGGGAGAGAGGGAGGAGAGCAGACGGGGCGAGACGAGAGGGGCACGCAGATAAAAGAAAACAGGAGGAGGGGGGGCAGTAAGGAGGGAGATCCCTTCTGTATTCAGTTAAGATCATATTCCTTTTTTTATTAATATGATGATTTAAAGACAGAGGGAGATGACTATTGATCGCTTTGAAAAAAAAAGAAGAAATGACAAATTACAAACTGTGCTGTGATTATCGGCTTTTTTGTCAGGTTAACCATCAGCCGGACAAAACTGAAACTCATGCTCCATTAGCTCCGGCAGGTGTGTCTGGTCCCCCAACCATCTAGACAGAATACCAGCTGACCAGATTCAGGAACACACTATTAAGACCGTTGATTTAACAAACGCTGGGTGTAAGTTCACCTGCTGCATTATGAATAGCAACCAAGATGGCTGCCACCGTCACTGACCTGTTACTACAGAATGTCCTATGGTCTCAAATTGAACTAGAGTTGTAAAGCTGAACGCACCAATCACAAGATGGCCTCAGCCCGCTGTGACATTAGTGCAGTAAACAGGCGACCGGGGCGCCATGAGAGAGACGCCATTCCTCCTGCTGAAAGTTATTGTGCTTTTAAATCGAACTCTGAAACGATTATTTAAAGGTGGGAAAGTTACATACTGTGGCTTTAAATCTTAAATAACAAAGTTAACCATCTCCATTGAAGAATCCTCCTTTGTGTAGTATTTGCAGACCCACGCATGGAGCTTGAGTGGCTGCCGCACGCTGCACTGCCAGCAGCCTCTACCAGTCCACATTTACAAGGCCCAAATTAAAGGCCTGACGTTGAACTTGGCCCTGAACAAAGAGGAAAAAATGGGAAATAAAATGAAATCCTTTAATGACATTACTTCAATGATGCCATGACCTCCGCTCGTTTTTGCTATCGGTTTGTGGTAAAGGTTGAAATAGAGCCACGTCCAGAAAGAGGATTCTGACGTCGAGAGCTTACGACAGTTTTCGACATGAATGGAGCTGTGCATTCATATTTCATAAAGCAGATAATAAACCCACAGCTGAGCGGCTGGTTTGAGTTTCTGAAAGCTCGATGAGGCGCTGAGGTGAACCACCTCCATGGTCACAGTGTCTATGTTTTGCATCGTCGACAAGACTAAGCATTATCTTCTATTTTGAATACACCCATACCACTTCCAATCATATGGCTGTAAACGCTCTCCATGTGCCACCATTGGTGCCACTTAGAAACATGCAGCAGCTGGACTATAAACAGCAGCCAGGACAGACTGAAACGTCTTCATTCGGTTTGTGTGCGGCCCTGAGAAAAAGGGGGCCTGGGAAACCAAATCACTGAGTCTCCATTTCACAGAGACCAGAAACCACAGGGCACGCAAACAGCTCCCCACAGACTGTTAACAATGCTCACTCCTCCGTTCGGCCTCCTCCTCCTCCTCATCTGTCTAGATCTGTTGCAAAAAACTAACGGGGACATGTCCCTCGGTTCCTTTGTAGCCACGATTAAAGGCATTCCTCTCCAGCTACAATCAAAGACTACCCCAAAAATACTCAGAGGCAAGAATCTAACAGCCTCAAAAACAAATACATGTCAGAGAAAAAGGGAGGGATAAATAGTAGCTGCGGTGAGAAGTCAATAATACTTTTTTCTCTCCCTCGGTTAGCCCTGCAGATCTTCTTTTTTCATGAGCCAATAATCAGCAAGAGAGCTTTTTAGTTCATCTGCTGCCAAGACAGAACCAGGCCCAGGCAGTTATGTCAGTGCGCGTTAAGAGAGGGGAAGCAAAAAGAGCTTGCACCTCTCATCAACAGCCACCGCACCGTTAAGTTCAGCGAAGGTCGTACGCCGTCTGGGCAAAACGATGTTTACAAAGTCATCTAAATGAAGCAGATGGGTTTGAGCAAGAGTGGACAGACGCTGATCAGTACGTGTTGATTCCATTATTCAGGAGGAATAAAGAGCGAGGCGGCTCTGCCCCTGGAAGGCCTGCCAGGTTTGTTCATATCAATGGAGAGTTCAATCAAACATACAAACATACACACCTAAAACGACAAGCTACCTGAGCTGGGACTGACCCACTTCTGTACAGAATGACTCATCCTCCCACGTCCCATGAAGTCTCTTTGTGTCTCTCATTGTCTTCACACTCCACCACTAAGCACACACACCTGCTCTGCGCAAACACACACTCACATGAGGGGTGAGACGGCGAGCTAGGAGAGAGATCTGCAGTCTACAACGATAACACGGTTTAACACGAGAGACCATGATGTGACTCTTCCTCGCTCTTAAACAGTCGTCAAGTTCTGACCTCACGGATGCAAACACATTGACGTTAATCTATTGGACGGGTGCTAACGGCTAGCTGGTTCTTCCTCTGATTGGCTGAATGGTGTGAATGGTGTGAATGGTGTGAATGAGCTGGACATGTGCACAGGGCTCCAGATGCTGCGTTGGATGCATGTCATGTATCCTTCATTTAGATCTTTGCCCTGGTGCTTTGCATTGTGGGAAACAGTGTGCTAGGGAGACTGGTCTGATGCAGACTGGAGATTTTCCCTGAATCAGAACGACCTCCAGGTATTTTTGTCATACTGGGGATCTCACATTTGTTCACATAATACTGTTTGAAATTCCATTGTTTTGCCATTCAGAACAGTTTCTGTCATGCTTTTATTTTGATATGTCGTATGGTCTTAAACTAAGGGTACTCTACTTCCTGTTTGGATACAAACCTGCTTTTATTTTTGACCAAGACTCTCAAAGAAGAGATCCTGTATATCTCTACGAGAATATTTTCCTGGTAAAAATAATGAAAATTCAGAGGTGCACCGATGGCCTAGTGGTTAATGTGCAATCCTCAAGGGGGTAGCCCAGGTTCAAATCCGACCTGTGGCTCTTTTTTTCTCTCTCTCTCTCTGATGTCCAACTCTATCCACCGTCCTATCTCTCTGATAAAGCCCCAAAAATAAATCAGATAAAACAGGAAGTGGTTAGGCCTTCCCTCCAGAGAGAAGAAGTCAGCGTGATGTGCTGCTACAGAACTTTTGGTCGACGCTGGAGAAGATAAAGATGTCAGCGTTAACAGTCCTGCTGACATACTTTGTCTCAGTTTTCAAAGAGGCGTTTAAAGATTTATTGTATCATAACTGCCGTGTGGTATTTGACATCTTTATTCAGTGATTTTAAATTAACTGATGCAACGAAGCTCAGCTTCTGATGCTCTTGAATCGGTTACACTGGCACACAGAGGTTCAAAGAGCGACTCGGCATAAATCAACAAGCCAGAAATATTTTTCTTCACAGGATCTATATCTGTCTCTGAAGGTGTAAATCAAAGCAGTTTGGTGATTGTCTTGGCAGAAGATGCTTTAATGAGACCAAATGTTTGTTTAAACCGCAGGAAAAGCAGCTGCCAAGACGAGAAACCAAGACCGCATGTTGTAGCCCAAAGATATTTGAATGTGTTTGCCCGGGTTACTGAGCAACACTAACTGACGAGTGGATCTCTGCACAGACTCGAGAGAAAGGGGAATATATTCAGTCTGAGGTCAGAGGTCAGGATGACACACTGATCCAGTGGAATCACATCAAACCACAGTGTGAGTGTTTGTGTGAGCGTTGGTTAATGAATGAAAGAGCTGCTATGTATAGTAGCTGGAGGCACCTCAGCATGCACCTGCATGTGAACATATCTGTGCACGAGGTGACTGTTGCAGCACGGCAGGAAGTCCCTCTACACCGTGCTGCATCTGAGAAGAGGTGGCACAAGTACACACAATCTCAAGTAGAGGCACAGATACGATAGAACGTCTTCACTGAAGTCAGGGGCTAGTTTATGTTTAGAGGAG